CCTAGTCTGTAGCGGTGCATTGGATTCTTCCATCCTAAGTGCAGGACCCTGCACTTATCCTTATTGAACCTCATCAGATTTCTTTTGGCCCAATCCTCCAATTTGTCCAGGTCCTTCTGTATCCTATCCCTCCCCTCCAGCGTATCTACCACTCCTCCCAGTTTAGTATCATCCGCAAATTTGCTGAGAGTGCAATCCACACCATCCTCCAGATCATTTATGAAGATATTGAACAAAACCGGCCCCAGGACCGACCCTTGGGGCACTCCACTTGATACCGGCTGCCAACTAGACATGGAGCCATTGATCACTACCCGTTGAGCCCGACAATCTAGCCAGCTTTCTACCCACCTTATAGTGCATTCATCCAGCCCATACTTCCTTAACTTGCTGACAAGAATACTGTGGGAGACCGTGTCAAAAGCTTTGCTAAAGTCAAGAAACAATACATCCACTGCTTTCCCTTCATCCACAGAACCAGTAATCTCATCATAAAAGGCAATTAGATTAGTCAGACATGACCTTCCCTTGGTGAATCCATGCTGGCTGTTCCTGATCACTTTCCTCTCATGCAAGTGCTTCAGGATTGATTCTTTGAGGACCTGTTCCATGATTTTTCCAGGGACTGAGGTGAGGCTGACTGGCCTGTAGTTCCCTGGATCCTCCTTCTTCCCTTTTTTAAAGATTGGCACTACATTAGCCTTTTTCCAGTCATCCGGGACTTCCCCGGTTCGCCACGAGTTTTCAAAGATAATGGCCAATGGCTCTGCAATCACAGCCGCCAATTCCTTTAGCACTCTCGGATGCAACTCGTCCGGCCCCATGGACTTGTGCACGTCCAGCTTTTCTAAATAGTCCCTAACCACCTCTATCTCCACAGAGGGCTGGCCATCTCTTCCCCATTTTGCGATGCCCAGCGCAGCAGTCTGGGAGCTGACCTTGTTAGTGAAAACAGAGGCAAAAAAAGCATTGAGTACATTAGCTTTTTCCACATCCTCTGTCACTAGGTTGCCTCCCTCATTCAGTAAGGGGCCACACTTTCCTTGGCTTTCTTCTTGTTGCCAACATACCTGAAGAAACCCTTCTTGTTACTCTTGACATCTCTTGCTAGCTGCAGCTCCAGGTGCGATTTGGCCCTCCTGATATCATTCCTACATGCCCGAGCAATATTTTTATACTCTTCCCTGGTCATATGTCCAACCTTCCACTTCTTGTAAGCCTCTTTTTTATGTTTAAGATCCGCTAGGATTTCACCATTAAGCCAAGCTGGTCGCCTGCCATATTTACTATTCTTTCGACTCATCGGGATGGTTTGTCCCTGTAACCTCAACAGGGATTCCTTGAAATACAGCCAGCTCTCCTGGACTCCTTTCCCCTTCAAGTTAGTCCCCCAGGGGATCCTGGCCATCCGTTCCCTGAGGGAGTCGAAGTCTGCTTTCCTGAAGTCCAGGGTCCGTATCCTGCTGCTTACCTTTCTTCCCTGTGTCAGGATCCTGAACTCAACCAACTCATGCTCACTGCCTCCCAGATTCCCATCCACTTTTGCTTCCCCCACTAATTCTACCCGGTTTGTGAGCAGCAGATCAAGAGAAGCACCCCCCCTAGTTGGCTCCTCTAGCACTTGCACCAGGAAATTGTCCCCTACGCTTTCCAAAAACTTCCTGGATTGTCTATGCACCGCTGTACTGCTCTCCCAGCAGATATCAGGAAAATTAAAGTCACCCATGAGAATCAGGGCATGCGATCTAGTAGCTAGTAGCTTCCGCGAGCTGCCGGAAGAAAGCCTCATCTACCTCATCCCCCTGGTCCGGTGGTCTATAGCAGACTCCCACCACTACATCACTCTTGTTGCACACACTTCTAAACTTAATCCAGAGACACTCAGGTTTTTCTACAGTTTCGTACCGGAGCTCTGAGCAGTCATACTGCTCCCTTACTTACAGTGCTACTCCCCCACCTTTTCTGCCCTGCCTGTCCTTCCTGAACAGTTTATAACCATCCATGACAGTACTCCATTCATGTGAGTTATCCCACCAAGTCTCTGTTATTCCAATCACGTCATAGTTCTTTGACATCACCAGGACCTCCAGTTCTCCCTGCTTGTTACCAAGACTTTGTGCATTTGTATATAAGCACTTGAGATAACCTGTTGATCGCCCCTCATTCCCAGTATGAGGCAGGAGCCCTCCCCTCACAGACATTCCTGCCTGTGCTTCCTCCCAGTATCCCGCTTTCCCACTTACCTCAGGGCTTTGGTCTCCTTCCCCCGGTGAACCTAGTTTAAAGCCCTCCTCACTAGGTTAGCCAGCCTGCTGGCAAAGATGCTCTTCCCTCTCTTCGTAAGATGGAGCCCGTCTCTGCCCAGCACTCCTCCTTCATGGAACACCATCCCATGGTCAAAGAATCCAAAGCCTTCTCTCCGACACCACCTGCGTAGCCATTCGTTGACTTCCACGATTCGACGGTCCCTACCCAGGCCTTTTCTTCCACGGGGAGGATGGACGAGAACACCACTTGCGCCTCCAACTCCTTTATCCTTCTTCCCTGAGCCACGTAGTCCGCAGTGATCCACTCAAGGTCATTCTTGGCAGTATCATTGGTGCCCACGTGGAGAAGCAGGAAGGGGTAGCGATCCGAGGGCTTGATGAGTCTCAGCAGTCTCTCCGTCACATCGCGAATCTTAGCCCCCGGCAAGCAGCAGACTTCTCGGTTTTCCCGGTCAGGGCGGCAGATAGATGACTCAGTCCCCCAGAGGAGAGAGTCCCCGACCACCACCACCCGCCTTCTCCTCTTGGGAGTGGTGGTCGTGGAACCCCCAACCTCAGGACATCGCATCTCATGCCTTCCAACCAGCGGAGTCTCCTTCTGCTTTCTCGCCCCAGACATATCATCTGGTCCACTCTCCGCAACGGTACCTGAAGAAACCCTTCTTGTTACTCTTGACATCTCTTGCTAGCTGCAGCTCCAGGTGCGATTTGGCCCTCCTGATATCATTCCTAAATGCCCGAGCAATATTTTTATACTCTTCAGAGGATGTGGAAAAAGCTAATGTGCTCAATGCTTTTTTTGCCTCTGTTTTCACTAACAAGGTCAGCTCCCAGACTGCTGCGCTGGGCATCACAAAATGGGGAAGAGATGGCCAGCCCTCTGTGGAGATAGAGGTGGTTAGGGACTATTTAGAAAAGCTGGACGTGCACAAGTCCATGGGGCCGGACGAATTGCATCCGAGAGTGCTAAAGGAATTGGCGGCTGTGATTGCAGAGCCATTGGCCATTATCTTTGAAAACTCGTGGCGAACGGGGGAAGTCCCGGATGACTGGAAAAAGGCTAATGTAGTGCCAATCTTTAAAAAAGGGAAGAAGGAGGTACCGTTAGAAAAAACTTTCCACCCTCCCAGGTGGAAAACAAATGCAATGGACAAGTGAAATACATTAAACTCCTTAACCAGGTTAACTAGGTCTTTCCCTTTCCAACCCAGGGATGTCACAGGCAAATGACAATTGATATGTAATCCACTGAGTTCTGTCCTTGGTTTGCAAACAGAAAGAAAATCCAGAGTCGGCTAATGAAATCATGTCAGCATTTTACTCGAGTTAGATTCACGGCCCTTCTCTATTGAATGATACTGAAGTGTCTCTGGATTTCCAGGGCTTTTGGGTGGCTCTCTTTCATCTTTTAGCGGAAGCACTTCTTCCTTTTTCTGGCACTAAAGGCAGTAGTTTCCATTTCTGGGAAATTTTTCTGAGTCCCTAGAGCCTGGATGAAGCAGAGCCAAAGAATCAAACTGGGGGTTTTCAGGTGTGAAGCACTATTTGCATGGCTCTGTAGACAAAGGTTCTGTACCCAAATGTGAGAAATATGAGATTAAACTAGTGTTTGCTTACTAGCAACTGTGATCATTAAGATCGCAGATTGTCCACCATTACCCTCGTTAACAACATGCCCATAACTTTAATTGTGCAGTCACATGGGTTTGTGCATTTGGCATGTATGTAACTGGAATTTGGATATTGTAGGCCACGCTTGAATTGGCTGTTGGGGCCAATAAGATGCCTCCAAAAATATTGTTATGTGTCTCCTTTTGTCAAGGGCTTTTTCTTTCCTTTTCCAGATTTTTCCCCTTCTTCCTACCAGCAGTAGTGAAATGAGGGAGCCCAACTATAGCTCCCAACTTTGAACACTGTTTGCAAATGCATTCACAACCAGAGTGCCCACCAAGGGCACAGAGTCACAGTTTGTGCTTCACTTGAGTGCGTTCAAAATACAGCTGCAAACAAAACAGGGTGAGCATTAGGGATATGAAACACACCAGAATCATCGTCCGTAAGGCTCCTTCTTTGTGACGCCTACACAAGGCTTATTAAAATCCTCTCTGATTTTCTTCACATCTCATCACTGCAAAACTACTTAGGGATACTGAGCCTATTGCAGTCACATCCTCTCAAATTCAAATCCATGGGCCTCTGAGAAGTGGTGGGATGATTAGAGCTGTTGATACCAGCAGGAGTTCCCTTTGCACAGGCAGGCCTGCCATTGGAAAGGCCCAGGGCTTGGACTTTAGTGAGAATAGGAAGATTACTGAGGATGCCTGGAAGGGGATTTGGCGCTATCATCTTTAGAAATCATTAAAGTCTTATTAGATACCTATGGGCACAGTTTTAATTGAAGTCTGACTCAAATCTGTCCTAGACAGAAAATGAGGTACTCAGTCAATGCTAAACAGGATCACAAATGACTAATCTTGATCTTGTAGCGCGCTGCACACCTCCCAGGGGATGCTGAGGGCCCTGAGCGCTCATTGACTTCAGTTTAGAACTAGGGTTTAGAACCAGCTCGTGTAGCCCTACTTGCACCTGGTCTTCCTTTCAATCCAAACACATTGGTCTCAGCTGGGTCACGGTCCTGGTGTTCCCTCAATGAACACAAGGTAGGCCAGGAAATAAGTCATTTTACTCAACATATGTGGCTTTGGCAAACCCCCACATTAAGGTGACTCTTACCTCTTTCTGATGATACTTTATTGCTACCTTTAACTTTGCCAAGTCATGACATTTTTGGGGATCCAGCTCCTCGCTCTGATCATCCCTGTGGTTGAGAATGATCTCCAGTTCCCTGGAGCTCCGTGCCTGGTCCAAAAGGTCCTTAGCAAAACGTTTGCACTGCTGGGAAAGCTCTTCGTATTCAGCCTTGAACTCATTCTCCACTTTGCTGAGCTCCTTCAGTTCCCAGCCCAGCCGGAAGGCTGTCAAAATAGGGTCCTCACTCGATAAGGCAATCAACGAAGGGCTGGCTAAGGCTTTGTAGATATTCAGCCTCGACCTGGAATGCCTCAGGCTGTCCACCTCAGAACTGGAGACACATTCCACACAGTTGCATCTGATCTGGTGGGGGCGCGGTATTGTTACCCGTCTTTGGACAAGCAGTTTGATGATTTCGTAGTTGTTGGTGTGGGCTGCCAACATTATTGGGGTGATATCAGGGGTGAATTCTGAAAACTGGGTGTCCATCATCAAGGTAGGGACCTACACATAACAGATAAATACATAATAAAATAATAATAATAATTAATTAATAACCTCATTCAGGGGAGTAGGAAATAGACATTCCTCTTGTATAGTTATACTAAACATGGCCATGCTGACTAAGCAGGGTAATTCAAAATATTTCACATTCAGCAAACCTTTTTTACTCCCTATTTAGGCAAAACTGCCTTCTCCAAAAAGTGCCCAGTGGCCCTCACTGCAGCAATCCATGGCACTTAAACTCATATGCTGATGTAAAAGTTGCTCAATACCCCATGTTTGTTTTTAAAAAGGAAGTTGATGGAAAGTAGATCCTAGTTCATAAATTGCTACTGAAAGGACAGCTGGGTTTGTGAGACAAAGGCCCAGGGAACCTCACAAAAGGAGAGCCCCCCAAACAATCAATATATTATAAATATTATTATTTATTTATTATTTATTTATTTATAATATAGTAGTGCCTCAGAGTCCCAGTCATGGACCAGGACACCATTGTGCAAGGTGCTGTACAAACACAGAATAAAATGACGGTCCCTCGTTGAGCAAAGGGGTTGCTAACTTTTTCCCTACTCTTTTAGTAGGGACAACTCTCCAGAGGAAGAGAATGTTACATAAATGCCCTCAGATCACATTTTTTAAAAGGTTTGAAAAATGTTAAATATAAAATTAATGAGTCACAATCTACTACCAATCAGCCACTACAGGGTATGCATTATTCTGCTACCGGTGCAATTTTCAAGTCGTTAAAGGCCCAGGGCTGAAGTGGAGGTTAATGCTCACTCTATTGTGATTCATTACTGTATTCAGAGTGCAGAATTACACTGAAATGCTCATACAGACTCGCCCCTCAGTGTGTTTCCATTTGCAACATAGATAGCTCTTTTTGTTGTGTGTTAATAATCACTCAAGCGTGCTGTATTTCATGTACCTGCCGCACTCGCTCCTGTGGCTGACATTCTGCTGCTGGAAGTGTGATTGCAGGTTATGGTGAATAGCAGGCACATTTCCCTCTTGTGACTGTCAGAGGCATTTTCACAGAAGGATTTTAATGACAAGAAACATTACTCAGACCATTAAAAAAAAAACACTCCAGCTAGTTAATAATTCTCTTTTCTGACACCTGTGACATGATGTAATGGTGGTTGTGAGCAGCAGTGATTGGACGTGGGCATCTAAAACCGTGAGTCTCTTCACTCAACGGCTCTAGTAGACTCATAAACCTCTATGCAGTCCAGCCACTAAAGCAGGACTGAAAGCCAGAGAGGTAAACTTGGGGCTACCATCTGTAATACTTTCCCCAAAACATGCAAAAAGCTAGGTGGGTTGGGTGTGCTGCTGGTGCGAATGGCAAAGCAGATGACCGAGCTGGCTAGAAGTGCCAGGGCTTGCAAATATAACAAGGTGCCTGCCTGGGTACAGCAAAATAGGAGTTAATTCTCCAGCAAGCCACACCCACACAGGTGGAAAGAATTATGTTAAGGAGGCAGAGCTCCTGACTGAAGGCAATCAAGAGCTAAGGGCTTACACCAGGGAATCCGATAAAAATGGCTCACTGGGTGCACTGAGGGCAGGGGGTGGGGATGGTTATTGTGTTTGGTTGAGGGTGGCGCATTACTGCTCAAGAAAGCTGCATTTGTTTTCTCTTTGTTAAACAAGGTGACTATTGTCTTTTGAGAAGCCTATTAAGCTCTTGGCAATAAACAGCATAGTGAAGCTCTCTTTGCAACGCTTTTGCTGGTTGCTCACTCTGCCACTTTAGTAACCTACCTTTCTAAATGGCAAATGAAAGGTACAGAGGGCAGGGGGTGGGGATGGTTATTGTGTTTGGTTGAGGGTGGCGCATTACTGCTCAGGAAAGCTGCATTTGTTTTCTCTTTGTTAAACAAGGTGACTATTGTCTTTTGAGAAGCCTATTAAGCTCTTGGCAATAAACAGCATAGTGAAGCTCTCTTTGCAACGCTTTTGCTGGTTGCTCACTCTGCCACTTTAGTAACCTACCTTTCTAAATGGCAAATGAAAGGTACAGAGTTCACTTGGCCACATTTACTATAGTTTTCACTTTTTGGTGCTTTTGCATCAGACCTTGCTGGTTTTCAAATACAGATCTTGGTCTGTGACTCTTCTGTTTAAAAGTTGGCATTATGCAGATAAATCCTCTGTTGATAACACAATATTTGATGTATTGTCATTGGAGTAATTGCTGATGCTCAGTCTGTGGCTCAGCATATATTTGCATTGTTCTTACCGGTTGAGCTCATGTTTAGGTCAGCTTATTCCACATTTTAGGCTAAATTACAGTGATAGACGTAGAATAGGAATACATTATTTTACCCCAAAGACTGTGCTAAGTGACCTGAATAACAAATTATTTTCCATTAACCTCATCCCCTGACACAAGCTGTTATGCCGAATCCCTCAGAACCCCACTGTCAGTTCTCACATAATAGCATGTGCCTTTCCTGCATTTTATCTTGGTAGTGTCAGCTTCAGAAATTAAAACTACCATTTATAACAATCGATCGAATACTTATTAACATCCTCCTGGAGTTAATCCTCACAAGGCTGGGCTACTCACCCACTACCTCATTGCCTTTTTTGATGATACTGCAATGAGCGATAATTGGATTTTTTAACTAATTCCTGTCCTATTTCGGAAACATTGCAGTTTTCCCTCACATGGAATCATTGCTCAATCTACTTCTGAGTTTTCAAACAACCAGCAGAAACACTGTTTTATTCATCATTGGAAAGGCAACATTTTCCAGTAAACAATGCACAAGAGAGGGAGAACAAGGGCTTGGATTCCAGTCCAGGCTGTAACCTTGAGCAAATCACTTGACCTCTCTGACTCAGTTTCCTCCAGCTACAAGAAAAAGATAATATGCTCTTTATAACATGCTTTAAGATCATTAGATGACAGACACTCTATACATGCTAAGTAGTTATTCCTTTCCACAGTTAGAAGATGAAGACTACTAGACTACACTATGCCTCATAAAGCAATAACTTCCTTCACTCCAAATGGACCACAGTGCAGAACCTCAAAACCAAAACTATTAATCTAGAAAGGTCTGTGGGTCTGATCTAGCCACTGTCTGTTGTCAGAGGTTGGAATCAGAATCACAAGGGGTTTATTTTGAAGTTCTTGTTTGGACAGAGCTGGGAACAATTGTTCTTATGAGATTTTTGGCCCAAGGTGATCATCCTGTCCTCTTTCCAGGCCCTTCTCAAGATTCACTTCTACTTTGGAGCCTACAGGAAATTACTAGCTGATAACGACTAATCGGGTGGCAAGCAAGGATTGCTGGGACTGTTTATTAATTACTTATAGCACTAAAAGAGAGCCTGCCAAATTGTTCAAATATTGACCCTGGGCAGCTACCTTTTGTGAGGACAGTTACCCTCATCTTGTTACACCCACTTGTTGTATCTTCTTTTCAGCTAGAAGGAACCACCTGTGACTATGTGATTATGCAGCACCCTGCAAAATAGAGCCCTGATCTAATTGGGTATAGAGGCACTCTTGGAATACAATTCAAAAAGTAAATAATAATCTCATGAGAATGCTAATCTTGTGACATTTTCCCCTATTAAAGATAGCAGAAAACACCTGAGATAAACTGAGCAGGAAAGATTTCCGCCATTTGGGCCTGAAATTCACAAGAAGAGTTCACAAGATTTCAGTGCCAACCAACCCAAGCTCAAGTATTAGCCCTGATTCAGCTTCAGACCTGAATCCTGAATCTTCACCGTCAAGACTGCACAGTTTTGCCCCAGTCTATATTTTCGAACCTGTCACACATCCCTTTGCTCCGCCAATGGAAGCAGACTTGACATCCCATTTAATTCTTTCTCCCGTCTTCACAGCTTTCTCCAGTCTACCCCCTCTGCATGGATGTGCCAGCCTCAAACCGCACCTGTGCACATACTCTCTCCTTACTCAATTCCCTCATAAATACTCTCTTTTTCCACAATTCCCAGAAATCCAAGCTCACTTCAAACACTTTCTCTCCTCCACCATGGTATAGAGGAGATAAGGAAAGCCAAAGAGAACCTAAGCTTGGACTCTTCTCTGGGCTTCCCAGTACATCTTGTTTTAGCTTTATCTACCTCTTAGTCTGTATGCTTCTTGGGCCAGGGACAGGCTGTATATCTGTGTCCCGTATAGCACAGAGGGTATTAGCATGTTGATAGTGCTTGCAAATAATTAGTAATAATATTGACCTGAACCTTACCTGATCTGGATTCAAACATCAGCTACTCAGCTCATCTCTAATTCATAAATCAGCTACACTGGACTAGTGTAAAAGTGTGATATGAACGTTTACTTAATGTGGCTATTTCCCACTACTTAATTAATATCTGATAGAATGAAAATCGAAAGGGTTTCCTGATTCAGAGTGTAATGCATCACTGGACAAAAGATCCCCTGGTACAATCTCATGTAAAGGTCCAACTACAACACTTGAAAACAAAACATGACAGAATCAGAGTCTGGATAATCTACTGACCAATGAACCTTTATTTGTAATATATCAATTTTCTATGTGCAATTGTAAAGGAACCACATGCTATCAACTGCCACAAATGGCCTAGCCAGCGTCTGTAGGTCTAAAACAAAGAGGATTTTGCAGCATAAACTCTCATCACATGTGAAACTTGAGAGACCATAGCCACAGCATGGCTGGTAAGATACCTTAAGACTGGTTGTCAGTTCAGAATCACTGTCCTGTCTGTGACACTTATAGATTCTGTTCTGAAAATAGAGACACATGGGGGACAGACAGAGTCAGGGTTAGACGACAGCGCGGCTATTGGCAAAAAGGGCTTGAAAACACATACGGGATTATGGAGACATACAGTTACTGGGTGACATTTCTGATCCCACCTCCCTGCCTGCATCCATGATACAGACTTTCTGGACCAAAAAGGTGTTTGTGTCTTTTTGTAGTGTGGGGCTCTTAAAAATGCAACATTTGCTGATATAATAAAAGGAAGCT